TTCAATGACTGAGAAATGGATCATAATCTAATACTTTACCGGCCCAAAGAGAAATTACTGGTGATGACCATAGTTTAAAATGAGAAAATCAGCAGTGTTGCACGCATGAAATGCACACACCTGTTTTCATTTACCCATTGGAAATGTATAGTTAGAGGCCTAAACTATAAGCTGGTACAAATACAGCCCAGTCACCAGAATAAAATATTGGCATTGTACTTTCTGCAAACCACTGCTATGTTTGTACTTTTGCAGTAAATGTACCTTTGTACGTATATTTGTAAGTTTCAGACTTGTGATGTAGTTCAGATAGCATGTTTATGAGCTGAGTTTCTCATCAGGAGGAGGAGGAGATGGTGGATGGCTTGACACCTAGATGAGACGGCTGCCAAGCAGTAGATAGCGGCAGACCAATGTTCAAAACCAACAATGTTTTTTAACGAGAGTTTGGAACATTTCCAGCCGTGTTTACAGTGACCAAACCAGGTATTTTAAACCAAAACATTCTCCTAACCCTCACCAAATGGTTTTTGTGCTTATGCCTAACCACATGTTAATAACAGTGTCACATGTCACAGCATGTGATTGAAAATAGAAATGTAAAGTTTGTGAACAACATGTGATATTACAAATGCAACATATCTGTCAACATTTATTCTGGCAACTGGGTTGACAAACAGCATGTAAAGAACTTTTTATTAACAGCGGAAAAAGACAAGTCTATAAGACTATCTCCCTCCACATATTCACAAGACACACAAGTAGTGACATCTAAATAGGTTACATGATAAGGTTCAAAAAGCATACCCTTCAATGAGAGCAGCATTGGCTGTCCGGGATTTACCCGCTTTGTTGTCATCTGGGTCATACCAGCTGGCCAAATCAAATCTCTCCTTTGGAATCGGTACAGAACAGTTTCTCCCATCCACCAGAACCCTCCAGAAATTGTCAAGCCCTTCTCCTGTTTGAAAAGATATAACACTTAAAAGCCCAATTGTGGTACTGTAAATTGTAGTAGGCAGATTAGGAGACAAATGGCCACCATTTAAATTAAGTGTTTTGCATGATTCCCCTGATTTGCAAATACAAAAGATTTGTAATAAGCCTAAACTGAATAAAATAAAATGACAACCAAACACCCTTTTATTAATTTTGCCAACCGTGATGGTCATTAAAAGATTGTTTATCTCAGGTGAACACATTTTAATCTGTTAATTTCATTTCTGATCTAGTAATGTTGAAATTATGCAATTTCTAAGGTTTTGGTCGTTTATTCTAAAGTACATTGTGGGAGACGGAAAAAAAGCTTTAACTAGCAAATTTGTTGATAAAATAATAAACATATAAGAAAACACAACTAAGTTACCAAATTTAAATAGCTTACCCCCTGGAAAATTGCAGCCGATGCCGACCACGGCAATACTGTCTTCAGCTTCTTTCATTCTGACTAACAGAACATCACTGAGAAAGAAAATCAAAAATCTTTACTGTACCATCATGTCAACATCACTCTTTCTTCCTGGCAACATCACATCCAGAGAGAAATGTGTTGAGCATTTGCTAAACGTGTGTAATTAGTCCAGTTGTGTCATGCAACGGTGCATCCTTACATCCATTCTGTTTGCCTTTTCTCTCAGTGATAGTATCACTCTTGGACGTGCGCTTGATTCTTATAGCCAGCTTCTCTTGTTTATTAAACATTAATGATTGATTGTATACGTGGCCATGGAGATGAAGGACTTCAGTGCACACATTTATGGCGCCTCGCAAATGATTAGACCGAGTTTAATGAGTAAATCAATATGATCCAACGAATGGGTGACTCTAGGTCTTAGTTCATTGAAGCTTATTACAGTTATACCATAATTAACAATCAACCAGTCAATCAAGGAAATCAACTTTAAAATATTCTTATGGGTAAAACTTCATTTAAAATCATAATCTACCACATTTTAAGAAATACGCTTAGTTTTAATGACTCAACAATATTATCATAACCCCAATACAATGCATACAACATGTTAAATTACAGTGTCCTTAGATTACCTGTCATTAGCCTTATGTTTTGATGAAATACGTTGAGTTCAAGGTACATGTTGAAAGGTGCGCACAAACAAACTCTCATTTTCAGATGTCTTTACAACATCCAACAGATCCTCTGTCTCTTGTCACGCTCAACGCAATGATGTCCATATATCACTGTGGATACACTATGCAACAAATAATTACTTAAAATATCAGAGGAATCAACAAAGACGGCTAATAAACACACAAAGAAATTATTATAAAGTTTTCACAAACACTGTATGCTACAGAAGTTGTCCGTCCATCAATATTCATCCGCTTATCAGGAGCAGCAGGCCAAGCAAAGTGCCCCAGACGTCCCTCTCCCCAGCAATGCTTTCCAGCTCCTCCTAGGGGACCCCAAGGTGTTCCCAGGCCAGATGAGATATGTAGTCCTTCCAGCATGTTCTGGGTCTGCCTCGGGGCCTCCTACAGTGAGAGGTGCCCAGAACACCTCTGACGGGGGGGGTGCCCAGGAGGAATCCTTATCAGATGCCCGAACCACCTCAACTGACCCCTTTTGACGCGAAGAAGCAGCGGCTCTACTCCTAGCTCCCTCCGGATGTCCGAGCTCCTTACCCTATCTCTAAGGCTGAGCCTCACTCTCCATTCTACCCTCACTCGTGAACAAGACCCCGAAATACTTGAACTCCCTTGCTTGAGGCTGTAACTCTCTCCCAACCATACAGAACTTGTAATGTCCGCAAAGGTAGCATACTGTGTTTGCTTTAGTTATGGCCCAAACATGGGCGAATTATGAGACTGTGGGCTCCTGGGCACAGATATGCAAAGGGCCCCGCCCACTCTCCCACATGGGAGCAAAATGCATAGTCTGTGGTTATTAAGTATCTCTTAATGGTTGTTTTTGTGTCATTTTGTAGTCATTTGGGTCTTACTGAGAGATTTTTGTGTCTTTTTGGGGTAATTTTGTGTTTCTATAGGTAATTTTGTGTCTTTTTTGGCTGCTTTGTGACACTTTGTAGTCATTTTGTGTCTCCTTGTGGTTGTTTTACTCATTTTTGTAGTTAATTGTGTCTCTTTGCATTTTTTTTGCATCTTTTTATGGGCATTTTGGGCATCTTCCTGGTCGGTTGGTCGATACGAATTTATTTGAGTGACACTTTAGGCCCCTGGGCCTGTGCATGGTAGGCCTGTTCAGTTTCGAATTCCTAGGCCAAAGTATTGATTGGGTTGAGGACCCTGTTCTAATACAAGGGATTATCATCATTTATGCAAGCGAATTGCATCTCTGAGGGGCTAAATGTGCTCAAAAACTCACAAAACAGTTGAAAAAGTTTACAGATTTTGGTTTTCATGCTCGTGTGTGACATAATAGCTCGATAGTGCCCCCTACAAAATTATTATAAAGTAGCCCTCGTGGTTCATTTTACCTAGATGCCTGACATTTAGCAAGCATATTTAACATACCAAGACTTAAAAAAGTGTCTTGGAGCCATACACTTAACACAACAGGAAGTAAGGCATGTTGAAATTAATGGGCAATATCAGTGTATTTTTGGCCATTTCTAGGTGTTGTACTGTTCCTAACTAATTAATGAGATTGACTTCAAATTTGATCAGCACAATCTTAAGACCTTAACAAAGACAAGCTGTTAAAATTTTAGGGGTTTCATTGAATGTTTCCATGGCGTGGCAGCCATTTTGCACGTTTCCCCAACACCCATTAAACAGGAAGTTGTTGTAACTTGAGCATACATTGTCCAATCTGCCCAAAATTTCTCATGCTTGATAAGAGTCCAGACCTGAAGTCATCCACATGCCAATACTGAGTCAAATTATTGCGCCACCTATTGGCAAAAGGAAGTGGCCCTTGTGTGACAAACATTATCTGATTAACAATAGTTTTTTGCTGTGTGGTCCATGCAGCAAAATAATGCATGCTTAGCACATGCTCTCTTGTGCCATCTACCAGACACATGGAGCAATACAAAATTTACCATACATAATTATCAGTGCAATGCAGTCCACGCAGAAAATATTGTCAGATATAGCTCATGCATGCAGTGTCTGACATTTGTGGAAATGCAAACACATCGACTGGCCTCCCGCCAGCAGCCCCGACATGCAAGAAGGTAGGAGGACCTCTTCATCACTGCCTGCAGTTTTAATTTCTCCTGTTTTTCTTTAATTACTTTAAGTTAAATCAGTGATTTCACTCAAACCAATCTCTAAACTCTATGACAACATTACATTTTTGTTTTGGTAATTTGGTTGATAAATGTAGTTTCATAGGACACTGCACAAAGCAGAACCATGGATAGTTTCTCTGATGGTCATCTTTGTTGCGGTTACCTTTGCAAGTTCCCAGTTCAGTCATGTTCATATTAAGCTGTTATCTGTCTTTTATTGCCTTTATAAATCCGGTCACACGGAGATCACATGGTGGTATTAAAGTTATTAACTGTGGTTGTCTTTATTACTCTCTGTCAAAAGGGTGACCAATCCTAGAGGTAAGATCAGGGCGAACGTGTTGGGAAGTGCAGTTTGTGCCAAATGGGTTGTAAGACATTTATGTAACAACTTAACAGTTACATAACATATTAGTCGATAGACACTACAGTATTCTAAACTTAATTCCAAAAGAAAGAATAACTACTTCAAAATGACTGACTAGATGTTTTAAGTTTAATTTTAAAGTTAAAAAACTTTTATTCCCCATTATAAATCTATGAAACAGTTCTATAACCTTGCCCTTATTCCCTCTCCCCAAAAATGACTAATGACAGCATATTCAAACCAAGATATGTGAAAAATATTTACAGTAATATATCACAATTAAAATTCATGCAATTACAATACTGCTTCGTAGTGTAGTAGTCCTGAGGCTTCACTTTTATGTAGTTGGCCAAAAATTTGTCTCTTTGCATAATAATTGAAATATCAAGCATGTGCAAGTTGGGACAAAAACAAAAAGATGGAGTGTAACATCGGGTTTAATGTTGAAAAATACAAGTACAGAAAAACATGAAGACAGTCCTGTAGCTTGATTCTGTAGATCTTCTTATTATTCCACAATTTCATCCAAATATTCACTACTAATCTCTTATAAAAATAGATAGAAAAGTACTGCAGTTTGTGATAATTTCTGTGAATCGGAATCATAAACTTATAACAAATGATGTACTTTATATTACTTACTTATTAAATATTTTCTTAATTAGAAATAGTGCTATGTTGTGTGAATACTATATGTTCCAGAAGTGCTAGAAAATATGTAGCTGTAGGAAAACTCATACAACGATGATGTTTTATAACATTACTCCTTGGTGGTGTTTGTGAAATATGATATGTTGCACAGAAACAGTAAACTGAAGGATATTGTTTTGAATCCAGGTTGCATCATTCCCACGTTACCGACAGCAACTGACAAGTCAGCTCCCACAACTTCTCCGCCAGCACGTCGTCTTTACCGGCCGCTGAGCAGTTGGCAGGAGCACAGTCACTGAAAGCAAAGACTTACTAGATGAGGGACGGAAAATTTGGATAAATCATCTCGTTCACACATTCAGTAAGGCCATGCGTGATTTATGCAGAATATGTTTATAGTTCAGTTCCTCTCTGGCTGACTTTGCCTGATATATATTCCATCAAATAACTATAAATGATAACACATAATAACTGTCTTCTTGTAAAAAAAGTTCTTCTCTACAAGCCAAGTATTGTATCCTGTAACAGTCTTTTTCTACATTTGTATCCTAATTTAAGTGACAGTGACAGAGAAGACTGAATTGCTCAATCCCTCTTCAACCAGTTTGGCTGCTGTATTGTATATTAGGCCAGTGGTTCCGAATCTGGGGTTGGGACTCCACTGATAGATCCCAAGGGTTGCAAGATGATTTAAGGTGTATTATACCTATTTTACCAGAAAACAATGAATAGATTGATTCAGAAATAATCCCTCTCAATCATCTCTTATGAACCAGTAAAAGTGTGTGGTGGTGTATTTATCTGCAGAGACCCTGAACTTTTCTTCTTATTTTGCTATGATGGGACGTTCCCAAGCACAGCGTACAGGTGAGCTCGGGACATTATAAAAAGGGATTGACCAGTGGCCGTATTCACAAAGCTTCCTAGTGCCAAGAGTTGCTCCTAGTGAGGAGAGTCTAGGAAAATTCTTAGAACTGTGGCATTTTCTTATAAATTCCCCTTAAAGTTAAGACTAGGTCCTTGTAAAGATAAATGATATTCATAAAACATCTTAGACCTTAAAAGAGCTTCTAAAGTGAAAACTGTTAGGAGTAGGGAGGAAGACTTAAGAGGCTTAAGAATTTCTTAATCAGAGGAGAAAATGGTGGAAACAAAAAGAGGTTGGAGAATTATTCTCCAAACGCTAGATGACAGGGAGTAAATAAAATACTATATATTAGATCATGCAGGGATAATATTTGTGATCAATCTCATTAGGGATACACACACTTTTCACACCCAACAAAATAATGCTATAACACAAAAAAAAAAAAAAAAAAAAAAAAAAAAAAAAAAACAAGACAAAAAAAAAAAAAACAACAAAAAAAAAGGTCATACACTCTAATATTTCGTTGGACCGCCTTTAGCTTTGATTACGGCACGCATTCGCTGTGGCATTGTTTCGATAAGCTTCTGCAATGTCACAAGATTTATTTCCATCCAGTGTTGCATTAATTTTTCACCAAGATCTTGCATTGATGATGGTAGAGTCTGACCGCTGCGCAAAGCCTTCTCCAGCACATCCCAAAGATTCTCAATGGGGTTAAGGTCTGGACTCTGTGGTGGCCAATCCATGTGTGAAAATGATGTCTCATGCTCCCTGAACCAGTCTTTCACAATTTGAGCCCGATGAATCCTGGCATTGTCATCTTGGAATATGCCCGTGCCATCAGGGAAGAAAAAATCCATTGATGGAATAACCTGGTCATTCAGTATATTCAGGTAGTCAGCTGACCTCATTCTTTGAGCACATACTGTTGCTGAACCTAGACCTGACCAACTGCAGCAACCCCAGATCATAACACTGCCCCCACAGGCTTGTACAGTAGGCACTAGGCATGATGGGTGCATCACTTCATCTGCCTCTCTTCTTACACTGATGCGCCCATCACTCTGGAACAGGGTAAATCTGGACTCATCAGACCACATGACCTTCTTCCATTGCTCCAGAGTCCAATCTTTATGCTCCCTAGCAAATTGAAGCCTTTTTTTCCGGTTAGCCTCACTGATTAGTGGTTTTCTTAAGGCTACACAGCTGTTCAGTCCCAATCCCTTGAGTTCCCTTCGCATTGTGCGTGTGGAAATGCTCTTACTTTCACTATTAAACATAGCCCTGAGTTCTACTGTTGTTTTTCTTCGATTTGATCTCACCAAACATTTAAGTGATCGCCGATCACGATCATTGAGGATTTTTTTTTCCGGCCACATTTCTTCCTCAAAGACGATGGGTCCCCACTATCCTTCCAGTTTTTAATAATGCGTTGGACAGTTCTTAACCCAATTTTAGTAGTTTCTGCAATCTCCTTAGATGTTTTCTCTGCTTGATGCATGCCAATGATTTGACCCTTCTCAAACAGACTAACATCTTTTCCACGACCACGGGATGTGTCTTTCGACATGGTTGTTTAGGAAATGAGAAGCAACTCATTGCACCAGTTGGGGTTAAATAACTTGTTGCCAGCTGAAAGATAATCGCCCATCCAGTAATTATCCAATAGGAGGCTCGTACCTATTTGCTTAGTTAAATCCAGGTGGCGACTTTTTTTTTGGCCAGGCAGTGTATTTGAAAAACTGGAAAAATGCAACAGTGCAGCAGTGACGAGTTGGGTCTGTCTCAGCCTTCCATCAGCAGAGTGATCACACTAACAATGATAACACTGTCACAGTCAGCAGTTAATTTCATTTCCACTGGGTGTCCACACCTTACAGTCTGTGACAACCAATCACACCTGTTAAAAGCAAGTATCACACCTAGCAACAGGTTCAACCACACCTCCTCACTAAGATACAAGTTTCTGTCTATTCCTTGCTCAGAGTTGCTTTAAGAAGTTTCCTAAATCAATCCTAAGCTAGGACTCCTTACTAAAAAATTGTAACCTTAGTTAGAAACTCTCTGAGAGTGTTCTCAGAATGTTTGTGAATATGGCCACTGATGCCTGACCGTGAGCAACATGCATCGAAGAGGAAGCTATGAAAATAACATACATAGCGTTGAAAACACGCAATATGCCAAGTGGACAGTTTGTAACTTTAATCCAATTACTTTATTTGGGGTTGGCTTATACTTAAAGTTTGGCTGGCGATACTGTTTCCAAACAGTAGCCCTACAATTCTTGCATAGTGAACCTTTAACAAGATTAAGGAAGAATCACTGCAGCAATGCTGTGGCTAATAAACTAAACTAAACTAAACTAAACTAAACTAAACTAAACTAAAAAATATTTAAAGAAATCAATCATAGAAGGAAAATTTTCTGTCTGGCAAACTGGTTACAGCTCCCAAAAATGTTGGTAATCACTGTGTAAAGACATTTCTTCCTCACCCCCAATTATCCCCTTGACCTCCACAATTAATGTATGATAGACTGCAATATAATGTCCATGTGTTTAGCTGCATGTCAAAAACCAAACTGTACCTGTAGTATCCGCCAGTCTCTTTCTCCAGTGACGGCTCCACTGCGCAGTAAATGCTTGTCTGAGCTCCCTGAGAAGAGTTTTTGGTGAAAGGACTGACCATCTTCATGAAAAACTGCTGAGGGCCGCTCAGGTGACGCCATAACTCTGTTTGAACAACTCCAGGGTGGAGAGAGTATGTCGTCACACCTGTGCCTGAAAGACAGCATGTGTGAAACAGTATATGAATAATGGAAAATAGCACTTTTCAACCTTCTCTTACAAAGACTCAAATGATGGAGAAGAGGGTATGAAGCATACCTTCTAGTCTCTTAGCCAATGAGCGGGTGAAGAGAATGTTGGCTAGCTTGCTCTGAGAGTAAGCTGAGTTCTTGTTGTAACTCTTCTCGCTGTTGATGTCCTCCAAATTGATGGAGCCCCAAGAGTGAGCCATAGAGGACACCGTGACAATCCTGGCTGGTGCTGATTTCTTAATCAGGTCAATCAACAAATATGTCAACAGGAAGTGACCTAGAGAACAAGGAAATTACTTTCATATTGCTGCTTTAAGAAAGCAGAAAGAAGACATTGTATTTTACAGGTATTACAGCATTAATTATATTTGAGAAAAAGAAAAAATTAAAAAATTAAAAAATTTGGTTAAACAGACAGCAGTCATTCATAATGTCACAGAAACAAAAGCTTTAACTACTGTGATAATTGAAATACTATGTTACAGAGAATTAGCTTTAAAACAAAGTTTATTTGAATACAAGTGCGTTTATTTGAATACAAGTGCTTAAGGGGACAGTTCACCCGGAAAACAAATATATATACTTTTCCTCTTCACTATAGTGCTTTTTATCAATTTAAAGTGACCGATAACCTCACAGAAGGAAGCGTGCATCTACTCATAGACGAGAGGTTTGTACTTGTGACAGTGCAAGATATAAACATTAATTAATAGCATCTTCTTCAACTGAGCTGTGACGTTAGCTAGCTCAGCGATGCTAGGTGAGTGAGCAGTAGATGCATGCTTCCATATCTGCAGTGATACAGTTAGCAGGTGCAATTCCGTAGAAGAAAATAGTTCCTACATGAAACTGCTCACAACAAGGTCTGTGGATTATCTTGAGTAACCGGGTCATGATTTCTGGAAAGAGACATTGCTATTGAGTTTTTCAAATGTATTTTTTTTGGCGCTTTGAGCACCACATACTGAGTGCCATCAAGTTCCATTATATTGGAGAGAAGGCAGACATCTCTATGGCTGATATCTCCAACACCCTGCAACTCACACCAAAACAATCTAGACTGATAAATAGCACTACAGGTAAGAAGGAAAATGTATTTTTGATTCTGGGGTGAACTGTTACTTTAAACTATTAAAATTAAGTTGGAAACTGGGAGCAACTGTAATTGACATTTGGCAGGTCTGGGTTGACAACAAATTTGGCTGGGTTAAAAATGCTGGCAACCTTCTTTAAGGTATAATGACAAGATTAAGAAACATAAGAACTGGACAAAATTGATCCAAGTTTGCAAATTTTGTTGCTATGATTATGTCCAATAAGATCTCAGATCTCATTTTCACTAAGAATTTCTCAGTTACATTTACTCACACACACTAATTTAAACCTATTCCCCCCTACAGTGTATTAAAATAAAACTTCTGACTAGCAATGTGAGAGACTTGTGTCCAGTCTGTCTTAATATTGATCAAACAGGCAGACCAGTAATGATCTCCAAGACAAACTATATGGATTCTTAGTGACCAGATTTACAGACAAGGTAGTTACTAAAATTGTGGTCTATAAACTTTGGCAGGGCTAAATGTTCTGATGGCAGGGTCATGAACTGTGCTCTTTATCTTACCCAGGAACAATTTGCCTTATCAGATACCAGCACAGCAAACTCTAAAAACATCAACACCAATAAATATTTAACAGGGAAAGGATATTTCTGCTAAATAATAAAGTATAATAGAGGGCTGTAAACAGGTGGGTGTGAAAGTGATCTTTGTCCTAAGTCTATATAAATGTATTATCTGTTATAATTAAAGAAAGTAACAGCAAAGTGATATAAGTGAGTTGTTTAACCATTTCCAAATAACTTATTTAAAATATTACAATGAACCTAAAGCACTGTTACAATATATGAAATTAAGTAAGAACAGAAGTTGCCAACTGCAAGAAGAAGAAAACTTTTACATCTGCCCCCTTGTGGACATGATATGTAGCTATGGGAATTGCTTTTGTTCTTCTAATAAAATTAGCTCTGCTTTCAAAAAGAGTCAAGTATCTATAGAAATTAATTAAAAATAGATTTTAAATATGTTATATATGTACAGGACATAATATTTCTAATAATTCAGGTGTCAAATCTGACACTAGGTGGTGAATTAAGGGGAAACGTCTGTATTTTTCAATGTGGATGCTATTTTTCCATATTTCTATGTCTAAGTGACTACAGAGATAGACCTTTTTGTTATAGGTAAAATCATTTTTGCAACCAGGAACAGCCCCCAAATCACCATAACCAAACACACCAGACTCCATTTAGAAAAACAGTAATTTTAGCTTGAACAGAGCCAGCATATTTTCACATCTAACTGGGTGAGTTGAGGGTTTATTTAAACCAAACTAGAGCTGGTGATTGTTGGAACAGTGGAAAGACGAATTAAGACAGTTTTGTGAGTTTTATTTCGTTACTGACAACTCTAAATGAAGTATATTTCACAAGTTGGTGAGTTTGGTGTCAGCGATTTCTGGGCTGGTCTATTTTTGAAGGGATTGTTTCCATAAGACACTTATGACATAATAAATATCTGAGCTTGTCAGTGGCAACAAGCACTTAAATTGGACGTGGACACCTTTCCTTGTTACACAGGTAACAGACGACATAGTTTTATTTACCAAAGTGATTGACGCCAATCTGCATCTCAAAGCCATCTGCTGTTTTCCCATAAGGACAAACCATCACACCAGCGTTGTTGATGAGGATGTTGAGCTTCGGCTCGTCTGTACAAAAGGACATTAAAAGGTTAAATGGTTGTGTCTGTGAAGTCCCTTCCTGTGTATATTTTAATAAGGAATAAATGAGTCAACCTTTGTTGATGGCTTCAGCGAATTCTCGTATCGACTTGCTGTCTGCCAAGTCAAGCTTCATGCAAACAACATTTTCATTGCCAGAATTTTCAATGACTTCCTTCACGGCCGCCTGTGCTTTCTCCATGTCCCTGCATGCCATGATGACCTTTGCCCCTAAACAGAAAAATAAGCAGCAGTGAGATACAACTTGCACGTAATGTGTGTGAAGAGCACCCCCTCGTGAGAAAATGTGTACTTCGTGTGTAATGTCTTTCATAAAGAGAGTTCGAACCTGGACAAAAGGAAACAGGGTCATTCATTTTTTTTAGAAAATAACAAAATGACATTTTCTTTTACCAGCATTAAAACTCAAATTTGTGATGTCACTGTAATGTGAGAGGCAGCTGCACGGCGTAATAACTAGTTATATGAAACAGCTACAGAATTTACCCTCCTAACTATAGTGCATCACTCCTGTTTATTCAAGGTTAACCTTAAAAAAAGATCATATTAAGTTCAAATTAGAAACAAATTTACTTGTTTGTTGTACCTGCCAAAAGTCACATGTTAAGCTTCACGGAAAGATAACTGGAAAAAATGAAAAATGTGCCTGGAACTGCATTTTTTTTTAGACTTTGCAATTTGTAATTAGCACTAAGTATCAAACACTTACAGACTAAATCACCGTGACGTCGTGCTGACAACAACAATCTTGTCCAGACAGACAACTGGCAATTGATTTTAACTGCAGGGATATGTGAAATCATCACACTTATTATTTCTGTTGCCATTTTCACCCGTAACTGTAATGTTTAAAGATAAACAGTTTAACATGATGGTCTGACCTATCTGACATATCTACTGTGCTTATTTGATGTAGCCTACTGTGTTGCTTTGCTCGTATAAACTAAATAAAGCAGTACAGAAGCTAAACAATTTACTGGACGGGCTAATAGTCCCATCTAAAGATCAATATCAGTGTAAGTGTACACTTTATTAAAATATTTTTCTCCCCTTTAACTTACACACTATCTGACGGAGGCAGTAGACCACCAACTCCAGTGTTCTGTGAAGTTCTGTTAAGTTAAATTTATTTCGATGTAGTCTGGTGGCTTTGAGATAAGAGTTTCAGTTCCCCATCAGACGGGGCAGTCTGACAGCAAGGTAGAGTAGTGAACATATTTTAAATATAGAGTACACTTGAAGTAATATTGATTTTTTGAGGTGGACTTTTTTTCAGTGGCAAAAAACTAACCAACTGAGGCAGCTTTTGCTCAGCGTGGTTTCATTTTCTGTATGTGATGCGGGGGGAAGCTACTGCAAACAAACACTGTTATTCAGTTTATACTGTTTCTGTTTGGATAACTGTCACATCTTTTAGCATTAAAATTTGTGAGGTAGCCACTCCTGGCATCAAATTCATTCTGAAGTCTTATTAATTTATTCTTTAATTGGATATTTATATACACTCATTGGCCACTTTATTAGGTACACCTTGCTAGTACCAAGTTCGACCCTCTTTTGCCTTCAGAAAAGCCTTAATTCTTGGTGGCATAGATTCAACAAGGTGCTGGAAACATTCCTCAGAGATTCTAGTCCATATTGACATGATAGCATCACGCAGTTGCTGCAGATTTGTCTACTGCACATACATGAAGAGAATCTCCGGTTCCACCACATCCCAAAGGTTCTCTATTGGATTGAGATCTGGTGACTGAGGAGGCCATTGGAGTACAGTGAACTCATTGTCATGTTCAAGAAACCAGTTTGAGATGATTTGAGCTTTGTGACATGGTGCATTATCCTGCTGGAAGTAGCCATCAGAAGATGGGTACACTGTGGTCATAAAGGGATGGACACGGTCAGCAACAATACTCAGGTAGGCTGTGGTGCTTAAACCATGCTCAGTTGGTACTAAGGGGCCCAAAGTGTGCCAAGAAAATATCCCCCACACCATTACACCACCACCACCAGCCTGAACCGATGATACAAGGCAGGATGGATCAATGCTTTCATGTTGTTTACACCAAATTCTGCCCCTACCATCTGAATGTCGCAGCAGAAATCCAGACTCATCAGACCAGGCAACGTTTTTACAATCTTCTATTGTCCAGTTTTGGTGAGCCTGTGTGAATTGTTGCCACGTGACTGGCTGATTAGCTATTTGGGTTAACAAGCAGTTGAAAAGGTGGATATTTGGAGACCATCTTTGAGTGTCCTTTTGTACCTGTAAGTTATTTATTCAATTAGCAAATGCAGATCTAGATCTTATGCTTTCATCAGTAGCAGTAACTTTTTGCATTTTGTTTTTGGTGTGGTGATTTGATTTTAATATGGAATGGAAAAGTCTTTACATAATGAAAAACAATTAACAGGAAGCTTTTTTTAGACAATAGTTTCTCATTTAACTATTACACAGTAAATATATACAGTACATAGAAAGAAAATGCATATAACTATGTGGACAAAATTTCACTTAATTTCTTTGTTTTAATTTGTTTCAATTTAGTTATTTTAACTCTCCAATACCTAACAAGAACTGTGAATAAGGAAAAGTTTTTTTTCCTCATAATCAGTGATACATATTTTGGTCTGTACTCAAATGGTATTAGAGTTTGAATCCCACCTCTAAGTACAAATTTTAATGTCTAAAAAAAAAGTAATTTCAGTCACAGTTAATTTTCTTTGGGGCTTAATATGCATTTTTAGTATTTAGGGCAAATGCATTTTAAATATTCAAAAGGTATGGCTGCTTTGTATTGGCATTTGAGAAATTGGGCTTATTTTTGTTAAACAGAACAAAGGGAGTTGAAGCAGTAAATAACTTTTATGTTTCTCCCTGTGTGGCACAGAAAATACGCTTTTGTTTCGTCCAGTCCAGAAACAGAAGGTGTCATATTAGCACCATATCCAAATACCAGTCCAGAAACAGAAGGTGTCATATTAGCACCATATCCAAATACCAAATGATACCCAGCCCAATACGATACTTATAACAAAGTACAGAGTTGATGTGAGGATCAATATGTGGTGTGAGACGCACCTCTCTTTGCCAGGTCGATGGCTGTCTCTTTCCCAATGCCAGTGTTGGCACCTGTGATGACCACAGTTTTGTCATCCAGCCTTTCAGCAGAGGACCAGGGTCCCCGGAAGAGATTTCTGGGACATTGAGAAATCACTGTTACTTAACTGTGAGTGACTCAACCAGCAGAGTGGGTGTGATATGAACAATGACAAAGCAAACACACAAAGCTACTACAAAAAAAATATGCTAGTTTGCTCCAACTAAGGCAAAGAAAACTTGTATTAACTATTATGTCGCCATTAACTTAGTTTAACTTAAGTTAGGCTAATTTAGCACTTGAACTAAAACTACAGAATTTATTCAGACAGCTGGTTTGTTTTCATGAATGAGAGGCGTCCTCACCTTATAGCCTGCATGTCACTTTACACAGCGCTCAGCTGGTCGGCTGGTGAGACAACAAAATAAAGAAAACTGGAAACAAATGTTAAATTTCAGATATTCAACAGTGAAGGAGCCCCACAAACTACTTCTGAAGCGTCAGTGGGTTAAATTGGCAATGCGGAACTATAAGTAAATAGTCTCGTTTGACAGGCTGGGGTTTCAGCCAATCGGATCCGACTCAGTCGCTCTCGGATAAGGCTGATTGGTTGAGCTTTAAGTCTGTGTAACGGCCTCTGTGGTGTGTGTGTGTTTGATTATGAATGCGGGACTGCGCTGGATGGGCGGGGAGCCAAGTTTACAGTAACTAAAAAAAAAAAAAACAGGTAATAAAAAAATCTAAATAAATATTTTTAACATTTTTATTTTACTTATTAATTCATTTCAATCTAAACTCTTATATGTTACAATAATAATTAAGAATAAGAATAGTAAGGTTAACAGCACTAAACAAACTAGTATAAGTAAAAATGAATAAATAAAACGCAATAAATAAATAAAAATGTAGATAAATAAATACATTATTATTTTACTTATTCATTCATTACAATCTAAACTCTGATATGTTTAAATAATAATTAAGAATAGTAAGTACAGCAGCACTAAACAAATTAGTATAAATAAAAATGAATAAATAAAACAGGTAATTAATTAGTATATAAAAATAAATTACTTTTTTTATTTAACTTATCAACTTATTTCAATCTAAACTGTGATATGTTTAAAAAATAATTAAGTATTGTAAGTATGACAGTAATGAACAAATTATTATAAGTAAAAATTAGTAAATGAATAAATAAAATAAATAAAATAACTCAGTAAGTAATTAAGTAGATAAATATATAAATAGCGTTTTTATCTAACTTATTAGTTTATTTTAATCTTAACTCTGATATGTTTCAATAATAATTAAGTGTAGTACGTTTAACAGCAGGAAACAAATGATCATAAGTAAAAATTAGCAAACAAATAAATAAAAGTAAATAAATAAATGAGTAAATCAATCAATCAATAAATAACTAACTTTAACTTTACTTATTAATATGTTTTAACCTAAATTTTAACCTAATAAATTGTTTCAATCATAATTAAGTTTAGTAAGTATAACAGCAGGAAACAAATCATTATGAATAAAAATGAATAAATGAATAAATAAAAAAGGAAATAAATAAGTGAATTTGAAAAGCAAACAAAATCTGGCATTTTAGTTTATGTTTACATTTAAAGATCTGTAATCTGTTAATGCACTCTGTATAGACCCTATAACTGTTAGTACATAACTTCTCTCAAGACATCTGGTGCATTGTATCCATTTTACAGTAAATTATATTTGTTATGAATAAGATAATATCATATGTATATCAAGAAGAGCAATGTAAAAAACATGCAAACAATCTTTCCAGCAGGTGGCAGCCAATGACCACCTACCAGTGTGACTCAGCTGACAGAGCCTGTTTCACTTTGACACCAGCCCTGTGTTACTGTGTTATGTCTATAGACAGATTACAGGTTGGTATTTGGGTAAATCCTGTCCTTGGCTGAGATCTTGCTCTGCTGGCAAATAATTGGCTGTAAACAGAAATGACCCACCAAAGTTCACCAAAAATCCATGAATGGTTCATTCATACGTTACAGGCATTATCGGAGCATATAGTGGGATTACCCTGTGGACAGAGGGTCATTAGAGCAGGAAACATTGTGCAGGTCATCAGCTGATTGTGCGTAAGCAAACATTTCCTTCCCTTTTCTGTGGGCGCTCAGTCAGCAAAGGAGTGTAGGGGTGTGTTATATGTGTGTCTGTGAATATATGTGCAGAACTAAGGCAGAGAGAGGCGTTTGTTCCTGTGAATGTGGGACAATATAGAATTCACACTGATTGTAAAACACCCAGAAGTCAAAATCTGGTTTGTTTGCACTTATCCTGATTGCATCCTCCCAACCCTCCACCTCCCCTCTTTGACTTCCTCTTCCATGTTTATTTAAGTAACAAGTGGTAGTAAGTGGGACAGGAAGAGGTTGTAGGTAGCTGTAATTTTTCTCATACTGTATAAAAACATGACTTACTGTGATCATCTGTGAGTAAATCATCTTGTTATGTAACATATGCTCTGTGGTTCAACAGGTAAACAAACAAAAATACACATTCAGGTGAATATTTGGCTATCAAAGACTGCCTGTGACTTTTCATTTTGTTATTTGTAATATTTTGTTGTTGTTTTCTGACACAATGTGTTTGCCATTGTTGATGGGCTACTGTTTTGTCATTAGTGGCAAAAAAAAAAACATTAGACATAACAGTTTACCTAAGCTATTACTGGCGCCGCATTAGCAGCTTCCCAGAGGCCAAAGACAATAGACAGGCAGGAGGATGCACTGCATAAACTATGAGAACAATCCATTAGCTATAATGGGACTATTAACTTCACTTTGGCAGATGGAGGGGGAGAGGATGCAGGTCTGTATTTTTATACAGAGGGGAGAAAACACAAATAAATGTGTGAGAGCAAGAGGAGAATATTTATGTTGATGTGACTGTGCAGGTTGGTGACTTGGAACCTGCTGGGTTTGATAAAACTCATCCAAGCAATGTGTACTGTAATCAAAACTACTGAGTCACTGTACTGCTGTGGTATGGTATACTACATTTGACTTTGTGAACAGTGATTAGCCTACAGATGGCCTTTTGTAGAAATCCATCATTAGTATTGCACATCAACTATAAAAAAAATAATACCGGAGCATTACATCTGAAAAATATTTTTAAAATTTTGTCATTGGACAGGAAAAGATTATAACATAACATTAAATGTGTCACAACCTAATCGCCAGAATAAATGTCGGCATTGTTCCATTCTGCAAACCTTAGATATGTTACATTTGCACGTTACAATGGATATGTTGAAACTTTATGTTTCATCAATGCTGTGGTTAATGTGTGGTTAGGTAATAACACTTAGTGACTTGCTAGGGCTAGAAAAAGATTGTGTTTTGGCTTAAAATACCAGGTCTAACACAATCTCGGCAGGAAACACAGCACCTCGGTAAAAAATGACCACTTTTTGTGGCACTATCCCGACAGGAAAAGCAAAGATGTCTCAATAAAACAACCACCTTTCATGCCATCCCATCAGAAAAAGTAGCAATGTCTCTGTGAAAAAACAAAAACTGCTTTTTGTGGCACTATCCCAGCAGGAAATGCAGTGACTAGGTTAAAATCATCCACTTTGTGGTGCTAAACAAGCAGGAAAAGCAGCAATCTCTCTGTAAAAAAAAAAAAAAAAAAAAAAAAAGCTTTTCTTGTCACTAACCCAGAAGGAAAAGCAACAATATCTAAGCAACAAACAACAACAGCAAAATGCTTTTCGTGCCACAATCCCAGCTGGAGAAATATGTTTGAGTTGCTACCAAACATCCATGTTTAGATCCCAAAAAGTTGCAGGAAACATAGCATTGACTCACTAAATCATAACTGGTTTTGTTGTTTGTTGGTCTCAAACAGTGGGCTGCAGCTTGCCAGGCGTCCCACCATTCATTATCTCCTCCACCTACCATGACAAAATCAGCTCATATGTCAATTTTAGAAACACTAATATAATACGTTATGTACAAATGTGACATATTTGTGGTTTTCAGGGGACCAGGCTGGTAGTTAAACTGGTCTGACTCACTTTAAACTGGTTTACAGCAGCTTCCCAATCACATTACAAGACAAATAAAAACAGAAATAATCGAAACAACAACAACAAAACAACCATCTACACAGACATCACAGAGGAGAGGAATAAGAGCAGGATGGTTTATGAGATTTGAATCAGTATTTGATGATAAGTCCCTCCATCAGATAGTGCTTATGTATGAATAGAGGTTTGTGGTGTGGAAAAATGATCTCTGACTGGAACTGTTTTTGTAGGCCAGTACTGGAATAAGGGCATGCAAAACTGATCTGCTGTTTCTTGGAAGTAGAGCAGTATTTAAAATGTTAAAGTGCAGTACAGTGGAAACAGGAAGGGTTGCATGGATCTTATCAGTTCTATTGTATAGTCTTCCTAAAATAAATATATTGCTCTTCAAAACAAAGGTACAGGGTGCTTTACTAGGAGAAACAATAACAAACGTAAGAGCAGCTAAAAGATATGCATGCAATTCATACCGTACCCCAGTATTTCCTATAGATTGATTTTTTAAGTCTTATTTTGTTGTAGAGTTGCCAGCAGTGCATTCAGTCAGCCACTCCTTGCTCTGCTCTCTCTGTTACAAGACAAGAATTAGCTAGCTAGCCTCCCCACAGTCCCCTCGCCTCCTTTTGTTCTGCTGTGGACCGCTTTGCCAGGAGGATAGCAGGCAGCAGCTCAGGTGACGGACCTTGGGTTGGCGGCTGTAGTGGCTTAAATTCAGCTTTCAGCACAAACCAACCAGCACCAGGTGTCACAGCAGGCTAGTGGCCAGCAGCAGCGTTGGGTCTAACCTGTGTAACAGCAGCAACAGAAAGTTTGCTGCAGTTTGGGAACATGAACTGTCGATCCCCCGTAGCTGGGGTTTGTGATTTGGGTTGCTGTGGCCTCTGACTGGCAGTCCGTTTCTGGCGCTGCTGCCTGCACTTTTATGGGTGAGACATTGTAGTGGTCGGACACTGAGGCAGAGGACACACTGTGATTTGAGGCTCTAGCTAACATCAGGAGAGACAGAAGAATGAAATAAAGATGAAATTTAATGCGGAATATAAGTGTACAGATTAACAGATGATTTGTGCTGAAACCATTTAACAAAAGTCTTTGGCGCTTAGACAACCAGAGGGAGATTATTTGTGATCATGGGACATCTGAGCAGCAGCAAGATAAATTCCCTATGGAGTCCAGATACAGGTGGTGGAGGTGGTGGTGGCTGATGACTCTGAGGCTGCTGAGGCAAAATAAGGCTGATGAATCCATAAAGACTAGGTGGTGATGGGGAGGTGGAGGGTGCGCACAGCTGCAGCATGAAAGGACTACGGGCAGAAAAAGAACCATATTTAAAATGAGGAGCAGTAAGATGATAGGCTGACAGAGAAGGTGTGCTGCTGTGCTATTGGTTAATTGTGAATCAGCTATAGAACAACTGATGACTCAATTGACAGCCCCAAACACTGACAGTCAGA